CATTCAGCACATATTTATTGCATAATGTGTAGCTTGCATTATCAATAATAATGGACTGACGTGCTTTATAAATTATGTTGTTTAGATAAGGAATGTTATCACTAAGAATATTGTCTTTGAGACTAGAGCAGTTAGTATATTTCCAAAATGTGAGACAATAGTTACAGAATCTGGGGATGTGTAAATGAAGGTTTACAAGAGAAAGAGTGCCTGTGCTTTGAAAATAATGGCAGAGAATGCAGAGAATATTTTGTAATACTAGAGATGCCATAACAAGAAATTGCATTCGAAAGCAAAGTGTGAAATATTGACTTTTGAGGAGGTTAAAATAGAATATGGCCCCTATGGCCTAGCATTCTAATTCTTCAGCATTCACCACATAGCATTATGGTCATATTGAAAAATATATGTAATAGATTGCCCAGAACATCACATTTTCAAGTAGTTCGACGTCAAAGCAACCTGAATGATCAGCAGAGTATAATCAATACAGAAATAATATTCGTGAAATGATATACATGTACCAAAAAGGAACAAAATTAACATCATGTACAACATGGATGAATTACACAAATATAGTAATGAGTGAAACGAGCTAGACACAAAGTATATACTGTGCCCTTGTATTTCCATAAAATTTAAAAACAAGGATAATACTAATCTCTCTTATGAGTGCGAGAAATCATAACGGTTTGCATGGCATGGACAAAAATCCAGCATGGAGAACTTAGATGCATGTGGAACCCGCGCGCACCCGCGGGCCCCAAAGTTGAGGGACGCCTGCCAGAGGGGGAGAGGGGTGGGGGGGCAGCGATAGGTCCCCAAATTGACAGAATGAGAAAACTCTCCAAATGCCACCAACCTGGACTCAACGGACCGTGTCCAGCTGCAGCAAGGAACCAGTTTATTTATTTCAGGGGGTGTCCCCGCCCCTCCGCCCCTTTCCGGGCTCACTGCTCTGCGTTAGGAAGAAAGATGCGGTCATCTCCGGGATCTCAGAGGATCTAGTGGGGCCAGAACGGTTTCCGAGCAGAGCCCCCTAGGGCTCGGATGCTGGCTAGGGATCTCAGCGGTTCCTGGGAGCTGCTCGGAGGATAGCAGCTTCGGAAACCAGATTTCTTTGCCAGCACCCCCCCTACCCCCCTACCCCCCGCCGGCCTGCTCCTTCTCCCTCCCACCGTCACCCCCTCAGATACTCGCCCGCAGGGACGCCGCAGAAAGACACACTCGCTTGCGGTGGGACCCGGGGACAGACCCACACGCGCACTCAGAGCACACAGCGCTATGCAGCCAGCCGGCTGCGAGCTCGCGCGCTCTCTCTCTCTCTCTCTCTCTCTCTCTCTCTCTCTCTGTCTCTCTCTCTCTCTCTCATACACACGCACACACACAAAGGGCATCGTGCCCGAGGACTCTTACTCCCCACTGCAATGAAACCAGACCTTTCTTCCCGACACAAAGTTTTCCCCCACGTCACTCGCGGCTGTGACTCAAGACTTGGCGCGTTAAGGACACACTCAGACCCAGGCCCTCCGAGCCGGGATGGCTGCGTGCACCCACCCACTCATGCAGGCCAACGCGCACACACTCACACTCACACTCACACAGGCACACACAGCCTCTCTCCCTCTGTCCAGGAGCTTGAACAAGGAGACAAAGCGGAACCCAGTGCCTTTTAAACCACCTCGGACCTGGCTTTGGGAAATTTATAAGCGGACTTCTATTTTGGCTGTTTCAAGAGTAAATGTTAAAATAATTCATTTAACAGCCCAATCCTTCACCCCAATCCCTGGGACCACTGGCTCTCAGTCTAGCTGCTGCCCCCCCCCAGCCCCCCCTGAACGCATGCTCCCCTCCCCGCATGCCCAGGGGCTCCCGGGGCACCGAAATCTACATCAGGTCTAGACAGGGGGTCTGGGGAAAAGCCTACAGTGGAGGATGGTGGTCAGGACGCTCAGGGCTAGTGTTGGAGATCCTTGGTGATGTCCAAGTTCATATCTCTGGGAAACCCAGTTTGAATTAAGTCTGGGAGCGCCCAGCTGTCAAATCTGCAAACCCATCACACCAGACAATGGGCTGCGGAGGAGAGAAAAGAAGCGCTCATTTTGATGGAGGGGGGTTAATTGAAAAGGGCAGGGGCTTTGGCTGAAGTTTGAGGCCAGGGTGTAAGGGCGGGGAGAAGAGGAGGAGGGGAGGGGAGGGACGCTTTGCTCTCCATTCAACTACTTGTCAGCCAGGCGTGCCCCACAGCTGCGGCAGCAGCTCCAGTGCGTTGTTGGGAAGGGGTGTGCGTCTCGGTGTGCGCCCCCCAACCCCCGGCCGTCCCCAGGGTCTATCTATGCTCTTGTGCACGGGTTCCTCTGCGGCAGGAATGAGATTGATTTCCTCATCCAGCACCCGCCCCCCGCCCCCACACACAGTTGCACCATACGTGGATTTTTCGTTCAGTGTATCAGTTGACACTTGGTTTTGAGTAAACAAAGCAGACATATGCCACATTTTCTGGACAGATGGTTCAGACCAGGGGCTACTTAACTTCTCTTTCCCCTGCGGTTGCTAACAGTCTAAGTTACAGGGTGGACTGAGAGGGAACGTCATTAAATCTTGCAACCAGTTTCTTCACCTTATATAAGCTTGTTCCCACATTTTCACACACAAACCAGAGAAATCCCCATTTATAAGTGGAGGTGAACATCTCCCTTTGGAAAATCAGGAATTGGAATCCCAGTTTTCAGTGGATGGATGAGTGTCCATCATTCTGAACATGTGATTTAATGGAATAAAATTTCATTTAAGGACATCAACCACACCTTTTGTGCTCTTGGTTTAGAAGTGACTTTGTGTTACCATCATATTCCACAGGCATCTTTTAAATCAACATTTAAGAGGGTGGAATAAAAGTTCTCCGAATGTAAAATATGAGACTTCTTTTTAAAATATTTATAGTTTCAAAAGTATTTCAGAACCATTCACACACAATAATCCTCATGACATTCTTACTGATGATGAACACAGAGCTTTTTTTTTTTTTTGAAAACTTTTTAAATTTTTAAAAAATAAATCATCAGTAACAGTGTCACCAGCCAGGTGGCTATTTCAATAAAAATTAATTCAAATAAAGAAAAGAGAAAGGTGGCTTCTCACTAGCACTCGCTGAGTTTCAAGTGCTCAATAGCCACATGTATCTAGTGGCCACCAGACTGGACAGCACAACCAGTATGTCCGTAGAATATGTCCATCGTCGCAGGAGATTACCCCCTGAGCAGAGCTGTGCACAAAAAAAACAACATCCGGGCCAGTGGTGGAGCTTTGACCTATGAACCAGGAGTTCATGGTTGGATTCCCCCGCAGGGCGCATGCCCAGCTTGTGGGTTCTATCCCCAGTAGAGGGCATAGAGGAAGCACCTGATCAATGAGGCTCTCTCATTGATGTTTCTCTCTCTCCCCCTCTCTGAAATCAATAAAGATATATATATTTTTTAAATGTTAAAAAACAACAAAACATGGCCCATACTCTACCCTAAGAATCCTTATAGTAGGAGCTAACAAAAAAATATCACTGCTTTACAACTATATCCACTATGTTCTGAAGGTGGAGGACTGGAACATGGAAGATAGACACACAGTGTAACTTACTGTGCTAAGATTATCTCTGTTTCCTCAGAGCTTATCTGTTCCCAGGTGCATGAGATTGATCTCAGGATAAAAGGTGATGTTGGAGTATCAAAAACTATTAATAATTATCAAAATCCATGCCATCTTCTGTGACATGTTTTCTCAGTGGGAAATTGGTTTTAATGCTCCCAAATTAGGTTCAATCCACCCGTAAGCATGTGAAGTGAGCAATTTTCTTGCACTTCTTGATGTAAGTGTATTTCCATAAGTTAACAGATGAGTCATGGTGAGAATGACAGTTTTATTCCACACGATATTTCATCTCCTGCTTTCATTGCCTTGGCCCTATAACTATAATGTAAAATACATTCATTTGGCAAAATTATACTGCTCAACAATCACTCAAGTTTCTCACGCAAACTAGTTCATCAAAGTATTTGACATTAGACAGTTTGACAAGCCTGTAGCTCTACAA